CTCCAGCTCGCCGCACCCCATCCCGCCCTACCACTACGCCCTCCGCTACGACACGGCGCCGTACGCCCCACAGTGTCTCGCCGGCAGTTTGAGGCAGGCCCTAATCCCTGCGGGACTTTTACTGCTTTTGCTTGCATTAGAGGCGGGGAGGGAAGGGGGGGGAGGGGTAGTAGGAAGACCAGACCGTGGAAAGGGGGGAGGAGGCGTGCCTCTCGGCGTGCCCGTGTGGTACCGGGTACTGGCCAGCCGCCGGCCGCCCGCCCGGGCCCCCGCCGTATATAAGCCAGACAATGCGTGCAATCAGCACTCAGTCTTCTTCCAGTCCGCCCCGAGCGGCCCGCCCTCAGGAACACACGCCGGCGGAAATGGGAGACAAGGTGAGTAGAGTGTCAGGCAGGGCGTCAGCCAGGGCGTCAGCCAGGGCGTCTCGGCGCCGCCACCAGGATACCCTCACCGCTCACTGTTCACCGCCTTGTTGCAGACCATGGACAAGCTCCGGGTCCAGGCCGTCCAGCTCCTGGTGGCCTCCATGGCGGCCGCCGTGCTGCTGTGCGCGGCGCCGGCCGCCAGTGCACCTTCACCCAAGCTCGCCGATGGCGCCAGCTTGCTGCCCGACGCGGCCGTGGCGGCGGCCGCCCCGGTGCCGCAGGTGGTGCTGGCCACCGCCCCGAAGGCCGTCAGGGCGCCCATCTCGCCCAGCTCGCTGATTCCCCACGACGACGTGGGCACGTCCGAGGACCGCATTCGCTTGGTGACCGCGCCAAAGGCGAAGAGGTCCAGCTTCTTCGAGGCGTACAGCAGCCACGCGGACTACCACAGCGCGAACCACGGTCACCACGCCAGCCACAAGCATCAGCACAAGGCGGACCACAAGCATCACCACAAGGCGGACCATAAGCATCACCACGGACACCACCACGGCCACCACCACAGCCACAAGCACGAGCAGGAGCACAAGCATGAGTCCCATCACAAGCATCACCACAAGGACCACCATCACCACAAGCATGAGGAGCATCACCACCACGACCATGAAGTGCATCACCACCACAAGCACGAGGAGCATCACCATCACGAACACAAGATCCACCACCACCACAAGCACAAGGAAGAGCATCACCACGACCACAAAAACGACCATGGCCACAAACACGGCCACCACCACAAGCACGAGGAGAAGCACGAGCACGAGCACAAGCATCACCAGCAGCATCACCACAAGCACGAGAACGACCATCATCACGAGCATCACGAGCATCACCACGAGGGCCACAAGCATCACCACGAGGAGAAGCACGAACATGGTCACCACCACGCCCACAAGCAGGAGCATCACCACAAACACGAACAGGAACACAAACACGGCCACAAGGAAGACCACCACCACAAACACAGCCACCACCACGGCCACCACCACAAGGAAGAACATCACCACAAGCTCCATCACGAACACAAACATGGCCACAAACACGGCCACCACCACAGCCACCACGAAGACCACCACGAAGAACACAAACATGGTCACCACCACAAGCACCACCAGGACCATCACCACGACCACAAACACGGCGAGGAGCACAAGCACCACCACGACCATCACGAGAGCCACAAGGAGGAGCATCACCACAAACACAAACACGAGCAGAAACACGAACACAAACACCACGAATCTCACGGTCACCACCACCACCATGGCCACGAACACAAGGCAGACCACAAACACGAACATCACGCCCACCACCATCACGGCCACCACTCCCAGCATCAACACGACGGACACCACCACCACGAGGGGCTGTTCGACCACGGCCACCACTCCGGCTACAAGGCCGAGGTGGCCGCCGCCCCTCTGGACTCCTTCGGGGGCCTCGAACTGGGAGGAGGGCTCTTCTAGTGAGTCGGAGCAGCCCGGGCCATCCAGAGCGTCGTTCGTCGCCCTCGGACCAGGAGCATATCCCCAGGACGGCGCCGGCTGGCGCATCACCGCTTTCGTCGTCCTGGCGACACTGCTGGAGCCGCGGCCGTGGAGCCCGGGGGTGCACAGCAGCTGGCCAAAGTGTTTTCTCGTCTTGTGATATGTAAGTTACCAAGTCCTGTTATTGTGTTCAAAGAGTTTACCCTTGTTGTTACCTGTGAGTGCTTGTGGATCTGTTTTTCGTTCTCATCCTTCTTAACGGTGTGTTGACTGGTGCTGTGCTAGAGCTAGAGTGTCTGTGATAAGTAGCCCTTCCTGTCGCCTCTCGTCTATGTTTGTATGCCTCCCTTTCTTCAATCTGCTCCCTCTCTGCCTGCCTCTTTCTCTCGATAACTTCTTATTGCTTGTGTAGCCGGCTGTGGCGATACGTTAATGGGCTCGACTTGTGGGGGAAATCGACTGAAAAATTATGCTCTTGTGCATGGCACCACGCGATGGTGGGGCAATTCGTCTGTAAAGTCGTTACGCTCCTCTGGTCTGGCGCTCCTTGAGCATGCCTGACCCATATTGTAAACGTCTGTGGTTCAAATCATTTTCACGTCCGGGCGGCAAACTGCTGCCATTGTTGCGTTGCTATTCACTTGCACAATTGTTTTTTACTGTTAACGAAAACTAAAATGTGAAAAAAGAAGGAAACTGTTAGTCACTACAAACAAAGCGTTACAATAAAATGACGTTTTTTAACCAAATAATAAGCTGATGAAGTACTGTCATCCTACCCGGTGCCCCCTCATTTCAACACACAGACACATAACAGACGGCAGTAAAATCCGTTCCCCGCGGTTAAACATCTTTCCTAACAAAACGCCAACAGCCGAGCGCCGAGCGCCGCTACGAGTCCGACGGTCCGGGTGCCGCCCCCGCGACCCCTACCGGTGGCGGCCGGGCCCCGCCCCACCCGCAGCAACTTTGCACATTTCAACACTTTGTCTTAACGCCCCCATTTCGCAAAACAAAAAGGAGTATTTCCCCACCTAGTTGTAGGCAGTCGGGAGCTTTGGTTTGGCCCTATTACATTACATGCCTCAACTACCTCCACTTCGCGCGGTATAGTGCTTACATATTTGCAGTCGGCAAAACGCGGCACACTCACGCACCCCTCCACACACGCACACACACACACACGCACACACACACACACACACGCACACATACACACACGCACACACACACACATGCCGGTTGTCGGCGCAAAAGGGCGCCATACCCAAATTAGTGAGCCACTCTACTGTGCCAAGTTGGCGCCCCGGGAGTTTCCCTGGTTTCCCTGCCAAACAACAGAGAAGCCCAAAGTTGGTCGGAGCGGGCGGGCCGGGCCGGCCGCCGGCCGCCGGGCGTTCGCCTTCGTGTCGCTCGTTGGCAGTCATGACCCCTCCGCGCGGCGCCGTGCGGGGCGCGCCGTGATAGGCTGAGGGGGAAGCCGCTGGGCTCATGAATCTCTCATTAGCTAGATTAGCCCTCGAGAGGATCCCGCGGCACAAAGGGCCACCGCCGCCACGGCTCGTGGGCGGCAGGGCGGCTCGAGGCAGAGGGGGCTCGCGGGCTCGTGCGGCCAGGTGCCGGGCGGGCGTCAGGGGTGGCAGGGGCGGCAGGGACAGCAGGGACCTGAGTAGCGCGAACACCGCATACCATCGCTCTGGGCGCATAAGGAAAGGTGCCCCAGCTCGCAGCCTGCCTGGGGCAGCGAGGTGCCCGTCGTGGGCCCTGACTAGCCCGCTAACTGTGCAGCTCTCACGCACCAACGCCTCCGATGAGGTGCCCGCGGAGGTGCCCGTCGTTTACCGCGTTGTTGCGGTGGCATAGCTTGCGGCAGCCCCGGGCAGCCCTTAGTTAGAATCGTACGGGCACCTCGCCTGCGGAATCCAAGCCAAACCCAAGCGCTCGCTGAGATGCCTGCACCAGACTGACTCAGAAGAGCGCCCAAGGCCCTTGGGCCAAGGACAGGGCTATACGGAAGGGCTCTTCCCTCCGAAATCAGTCGGCAAATGCCGCCCGCCCTACACGGGGCCCTTGCGGGCTGTGTGTGTGTGGAGGGGGGGTGCCGATGTGCATTCCAGATGAGCCGCAGCCGGACGCCACGGTGCGCCGCACCGGTAGGTAGGTAGCGCCGGGCCGGGCAGCGGGCAGCAGTACGTACTTTGTACCGGGCAGTGCCGGGCGCGAGCTGCAGCGGCAGCAGGAGCGGCACCGAGGAGGGGAGGAAGAGGATCGCGAGTATGACACAGTCCTGCCATGACACTGCCGCCGGGACGGAGGGGCGGCGAGCCGTGAGGGAGGGGGGGGGGTGTACTGCTTTCCTCGCGTGGCGTAACACGGACGCAGATTACTGCGAGGAGAGGTAGGAGGGGTAGGCGGGGGTAGAGAAGGTGGGAGACTCTGTCTACTTACTCCAGTATTTGTCCGGGGGAGGGGGGAGGGTGGGGGGCGAGTCTATTTGCGCAGGCTTGCCCCGCTCGGGTCGCTGCTCGAGCCGCCGCCGCGGAGGCCCTCCAAAGGGACCGCAGGTCGCGGAGACGCAAATGCCTAGGCGCTAATGGCGGCCAATAAGGAAAACGCTCCCTGGGGTAACCGAGACTCGAAAGGTGAGGGGCGGTTAGGGACCTTAATGATCGGGCCGGGGCGAGGTCGTCAGACGCGATGAGCGCGACCGCGAGTCCCGCGCCGACCGCGTTCAGCAAGCTGGAACCACGTTGTGGCGCCCGCCTCAACCACCCAATCAAAAACATGCCGCTGCCTCCGCGGCCCTTAACCCGTTTGGTGCGACACGACCCTCACCTTGGCTCCCAGTAACATAGGATTGCCCGCCCCCGCCGCACTCAGCGTGTGAAGGCCCATCAGCTAAAGCTCTCCTGGAACTGGACCGGAGGTAGAGGGCTTTTTGAGGCAGGGAGCGTTCTCCGGGCAATCCGGGCAGCACCACTCGTGTGAGGCACCTGTCGGGCCGGGCGGGTCGGGGG